TATATATATATATATATATATATATATGGCCTATGCTCCGTTAGGGGTAACAGGCGTAAGGAAGTAATCTATCTGAGGTTGCGAAAGACCGTAAATCGATCATAGTTTGACATTAACAGCGTTAGATACCGGCTCTTTGATCTAGAGGTTAGGCGTTCGCGCACAATACGGATGGTCTTGGATTCGAATCGTGAGAGGTACGAAGTCGTGGATGCGCACTGCTGATGAGTCCCATGTCAGGACGAAACGGCTAACCACTGCTTCCCTGGTTTCTAATGGTGGTCTAGCATTGATCAATTCATGATTTCAAATACATAAAAATGTTAAACCAATCAAGGCGATTTCAGTCAATAATCACAATGATGTGAAATAGATCACATCACTACACATAATAGGCAAAAGTACAAGTTGATAGTATGAAGACAGGTGTACTGATAGTAGTAAGAAAAATAAAATGCTGTAACAAAAGTTTTCTCAATAGTAGGTCAAATGTGGATAATTAGACTTAAAATAATCTATACAAATCATTAAAACCATTAAGTAATAAATGAAAAATAAATGTGTGCAATTTGACTCGATAAGATTAAATTTGAAAAATCGATATTAAAAGGATGGTAATTCAAATGATAATGAACATAGTATGTGTAACTGTTTGGTGATTTGAAGTTTCTAATAAGATTACAGATTTAAAAATGACTAGTGTTATCTGTATTTTAAGTGAATATGATACTCAAATAAAACTTTCGGTAATATGTGACCGATGACTGACTATATAGTGATTACATCTCTACGCAGAAACTTTTATCTTGTATAAAATTCATCAACTATGCGGTAAAGAACTTACAGTTGAGAGGTGCATTAATAATGATGATACTCAAATGAGTGTGTTGTTACTTTTGTGCATCGATCATCTGATGTCGTATTTTTCTATATTGGAAAGTATGAACTAGAGTTGTGTTTCCATTTCAACTGAAACATATTTCTGAAAATGTCTTGAATCATTTGATTCTTCCCAATGTTTTTTATGACTTGAAATAAATTCCAAACCTAATTTTGCTTAGAAATGCAAAAGAAAACTATCTTAGATGCTGCTATTTTATTCTGCTTTACAATATTAGTGTTCAACGCTTGAACACCCTATTAGAATGCCCATAAAGTTTGTACTATTAGAGATTCTGTAATAAAATACACTGTTAAACAAGTTAGTATCATGTAACTTGAGTATATATGTACTTGAATTCACTGTTGGGCAACTGCGAAGTGTTCGTCGGCCATGTCTACATGGTCCCGGTAAATACTTGGGAACGTTTTATCCAATTATCGTTGAGTAGGATCTTCGTAGAAGTATCTAGAAAATAAGGAATCATGTGTTAAGATTTTGATTGTATATACGCCTACACTACTATTATATTTAACATGGTCTTGCAATGTTCCAGAAGCTGAAGGGTAAACCTAACTGTATAAATACCTTCGATTTGCCATTAATAAACGAACCATAGATTAGAATATTATAATTTCACTTTTCGCCTTTTCTCTCGTGTGCTAATAGCCTCTTTCTGTATGTGGCTGTACTTCTTTCTGCTGTGGATAGTGTACGGGATGCATGCATAACGGCTTTTTCTGACGCGTCTGGAAACTGATGTGAAATAACAGCACCTAGGCCATATGCTGAAGCGTCTGCTGCTACGATGATTAGCATGGATGGATCGTAGTGTGTCAATAACAATTCTGAGCTAATTATGGACTTGAGTTTGTTAAAACCCACGTCCTACTCTTTAGTCCAATTCCAAGTGCTGTTCTTCTGCAATAGACAATTCAATGGAGCACGGATACCATGCATTGAAGGAACAAATGCTGAATAATAACTGATTAATCCGATAAAAGATCGTTATTCCGAGACATTAGTCATTGTTTCAAGTGACTTATGTACTGATGCACTGCAGTCTTGCAAATTTTGTCTATGACTGACTCAGTTGATATGAACAATTCAAATCAACTATAAGAAAGTTTTATTGCTCTTCTTTAGTGGTATTTTATGTTTTACTAAGCGGCAGAACTATCAAAAACTGGCGCTACTGGTACTTAATAGGAAAGAATCGAAATCTTGGGTTTATTTTTTTTTCGTTATTTAATCTGACGATAGCGCAGTAAACTTCAAATTAATAAACTGAAAGTAATATTATTTGATTAATAAACTCTTTTCAAACTATTGAACACGAATAAATAATGTAATGGGGAAAAGTTAGTTTTGTTTAAATGCTTACTTTTCGTAATGTAGTTATTTCTTTTGATCTTTTAGTGTACTTTTATGAACACAAATGATGTACAGTTTTGAAATGATTTTCTAAAAATAGAATATTGTTATACACATGTCCTACAACGATTTCTCTTTAGAAATCACTAACAATATTTTGTTTGACTTCTATCTACTAAGTCCGAGGTCCGAAACCCACTCTATCGTACTTTAGTTTTGGGAACTAGATAGTATCACTAACTCTTACATTTAGAGTATCATTTCAAGCACGGTAATAACTAAATTTGTGCTTGGTAAATAAGTTATTCAAGCAAACTATGTCTAATAACTTCATTTTCTCTGTCATCATTAAAACAAAACACAAATTTAAAGCTCTTTTGTTTTTGTTTTATAAATTTTCAACTTTCTTTTTTTAGCTCCACCACCAACTAGTGCAAAATATGAATCAGTTGGTTCATTTATATCAAATGATTTTCAAACTGTAAATGATGCTACATCCACTGTACTATTAGATGAAGAGAGTCGTTTTGATTCGTTAAGCTTAACATCGACTACCATTTCAACATCAGGTAAAACTGATGTTAGTGAAGCGGTAAATCTAATTATGATATTCATTTTTAATTATTGCTTATAGTAGTAAATTTAGTGAATATTTTGTTTACTTGCAATGTATGTGTGCGTATGTGTACTGACAATGTGGAGATATTTTTAACTATTCTATGAATTCATCGGTATTGTTCATCAATTGAAAATACCACTAAGAAAAAAATAAGGAACACTATTCAACTGTTTTATTTTAACACGAAACTCATTAAGATCACATATCCACGAATTCGTCAAAGATCGAATCCAGGCTGTTTAATTTTTTCGCCAGCGCTTAACCACTGTGTTGGGACGCCACTGAGTACTTCTCGTTTAGTTTACAATGGTATCCTAACTCTGGTTGATCAATGATGTGTACTTCATATAAATAAAATTAATCTCCATCTGTTAAATTGCTGACATTTTCGTATATAAAATTGAATCATTTAATGTGTCAAATATGGATGATTAGTTTTGAAAGCGCAATTTCATTAATTGCGATCAATCGAAGTTTTGTTTTAATTATCAAGCCTACTGATTTATTTTTTTTTTTGTAATTTATTGCACTCATATCATTCTAAACATTACGATATATAAGTTCATAGGGGTTGATAAACTCCGTCTAAAATTATAACTGCATCATCAATTATGGTGCTTAGATTAGATCTTTCTGGTTAGTTGATTTCGTTGATCAGCGTATCAATTGATTTTTTTTTTCATTATTTTCATGTTATCTCTTTGGTATTCATCTTAAATAATCATCTAGAATTAATTATATTTAACTAGTCATGTATGTTATAACTCAGATCTCATATTTCGGTATTACGAAAAAATAATTATCCGATAAAGGGCAATAAGAGTGTTTGAGCTTATTTGCATCAGGCTGAGCTGTATCTCTTGCTATCTTATGCCGTACTATGTTTTTATCATATGCTCTGCTGTTATACAGCGATGAAGGTTCGCTGTGAACATACTGGATGGTTCGGCATTGCTTTAGCAAGTAATGCTAACAGTCCATATACAAAATTGGTTGGCAGGGTGACCGATTTCATTGATATTGGTGGTTGTTTTGCAACATTATCGAGTGCCATTGTCATTGGGTTGCTGTATTGTATATCACCATTGCTAATAATAACGAGTTTGACAGTCATGTACGGGATGGGTCGAATTAGCCTGTTCATGCGCTGCATATTGATTGACGCTATCATGGATTGGGAATAATCACTATATATGTACAAGTGTATATAAATAGTGTGATTGGTCCACCAGTGTGTCAGGTGTCATGTTGAATTGCTAACACATAAGCATTTTCTTCGGTTCTCCTGAAAACCAATGTAACATTGCCCTTGACAATAGAGGGTTAATTTATATAATTGAATTGTGAAATATATTATAATTTGATAGGTTTTGTTTATCGCTGTTTACTTACACTGTAGGATGGAGCATCTAGTAGCAGTTCTGCACAAGGATATTCTAATGTACTCGGTCTAACTGATGAATTTCCTTCACCATTATCTTCTTGTGATAGTACTAAAAATAGTAAAACAAAACCGTCGGAATCCACAACAGCACCTGGACCAATATCATCGTCATCATCACCACCACTGCCACCGGCAACAACAACAACAACCGCTGCATCATCATTACCTACAATGCACAGTGTACATCGTGAACGTAGAACTGTATTTCGTTCAAAACCATTATTAGTTTTACGAGGTCATGAAGGTGTGGTTACAGAATTAGCATGGTCTAAAAATTTATTCCTTCTAGCTACTAGTATGGATCATCAAGTACGGCTTTGGCATATAAGTCGACGTGAATGCCTATGTGTATTTAGTCATAATGATACAGTGCCAACAATTGTATTTCATCCAAAGGTATACAAATTTACTATATGTGTATATATTTATATACCTTTGTTCATAAATTAACCTATTTGATTGATGTATTTCTCATGAACGTTATGTTAACTAAACTAACTAACACTTACAAAAATTCAGTACAATTATATCGAATTCGACAACTTTTGTTGTAAAACATGAAATAAGTATATTGATAAAAGTAAACAGTCCCATTTTATTTATTTGCTTACAATTATGAAATTACACATTTTCGAAACCATGAATCGATCAATGTTAGACCACCATTAGAACGAACCTGGAAGCACTGGACGGCCGTTTTGTCCTGGTATGGGACTCCTCAGCAGTGCGCATCCAGGAAATTAACATCTTTTAAAATGTCTTATCAATTACTACTTGTTTATTAGTTATCCGTTATTTCACTTATACTATACTAAATGATATCAACTATTTTTTCTGTGTTTTGATCAGCCAAATAGTTTTCTTTTATCGATTTTCAATTACTTCCGTACTTAAGCCTTATATCCCTCTTGAGGAATGCATAAAACATCAACCAGGGAAGTTCATGCTTAGTGACGAGCTCTATCTAGTTAATTGTTTGACAATCACCGACAGTATTTCGATCTGGTTCGAACATGATTGGTCCTAACGAAATCCAACAGCTAGCTCATCCTAGTCATTTTTATAGTCACCATCATCTATGGTCAACGTTGAATCTGGTACGTTTATGAGTTGGCCTATATTCCTATATCAAATTAGTTCGGCTAAATGAAATCAGTTTGATGAATAACGAATCGATGAAAACGAGAATATGGTGTGAAAAGTAGCGATAAATGGTTATATGTCTCAACGAACATTAAAATTGACGATGTACAAATAGTCAAAAAGCAAATGCATCTGTCATCCGTCTACTTGATAAAATTATCAATGAACTAACCAGTGTACTTTTGTCTTTAGTGATTATTTACTCTCTCTCTCTTCACCAGGATGATCGTTATTTTCTCTCTGGTAGTTTGGATGGGAAACTTCGTCTGTGGAATATACCAGATAAGAAAGTACGTTTTTGGGTCGAAGTCCCAGTACCTAGTGCTTTGCCAGTAGCAACTAATACATCATCGTCCACAAATACTGTTGCTAATTTTTTTACACGTTCTAATCCATATACCGGTTCACAATATACAACATCAATGCTGGGTCTTTCATCGTCAAAAGGAAACAGTAGTGGTGGTGTTGGACCTAAAACAGTGATCACTTGTGCGACATTTGCTTGTGAAGGCACTAAAGTTGTTGTTGGCACATATGATGGTCGTGTATTGTTCTTCAATAGTGAGGTTAGTGATAATAATTTCCTATTCATCAAAATGTCATTATATACTTTTTTTCATTGTCATGATGTGATGTGTTAATTAATGAACTAACGGAAATCACAAAGTTGTTGTTGGGGATGTTAGATCCCCAAAACTCGCTTGATAAATGCCTTATTTTGGATTTCACGTTTGCGAACATGGGCTGATCAGTTGACCTTGAGATTTCATTTCCCACCAGGAAAATCCATGGCTGGTATTGGCTGCTGTGTATTTTAGTGTGTTATTTTCGTAATTGTCCCAAGGACGTTTCTATGATGTATAAATAAACGAGAGTTGTGTGCTTGATTGCATTGTGATTGCTGGATGTTGTAGAATATACTTTCTACGCTTACAAAGCCTTCTGTCTTCAGCTTGGTATTAAGGTAGCCTATCTGGACGCTGGTAATTGTCTCGTTCGCGTTTATCGACTAAGGTGAACTCGTAATAGCTTCAAGCGTACCTAGTGACGAACTTATCAGTTGTCTTATCCTTAGACTCATTAACATCCAGATTGATGATTCTGCCATGGATAGACTGTAGAACCTTGGAGTTTCATGACGTTCGTATTGCCTTTTAAGTCACATTTCCAACTTGTATCAATCTGCATTGTTTTTCTTTTCCAGTTGCATAATTAATTTCTGACAAATTTCAAATGAAAATGTAGTTTTTCGGCTAAGGGAAGATGGCTTACACTTAACAGCAATTCAAGACATTCAAACTATCATTATTGTTTTTAAAACTTAACATAGTGCAATATACAATAGTAGATGATCAACTAATCCTAAGCTGATACATTTCATCCATGTATACTAACAAATTATGTAATGATATTCAGCTAAAAATGTTCATTTATCTTGACAAAAGTTTGTAACTTCCTTTTTATTCTCCATAATTAATTTTATGTTTATTTCTTTTTTATGATAAAAAATTTCACAGCTATCGTACATAACTTTTATAACAATCAAGTCTGGTACCACAAAAGGTCGTCATTGTCGTGTTACAGCTATTGAATGTGATCCATCTGATTCAAATAAGGTAAAACTAATAATAATAATAACAATAATAATAATAATAATAAATTGGTTTCATATCACGACTTGACTATAGTTCCAAAAACACTAAAAATCAGAAAACATCAAACAGCTACTTTATCCTCCTAGTATGAGGCATTTCGTAAATGCCCATCCATAAACAACCACCGGAAATAAAACCTAGAACTTTTAAGCCTAACAAAGAGCGCTCAACCTTTAAACCATTGGGTTTAGTATCCAATGGCACTGGTGCATTCATTCTTTGCGTTCTCTCAAATCCTAACCTTCTGAATTCTTCATCACCTTTATCGTTTTCTTATAAGTTCATTTCACTAGATTCAATTTCTTGAATAATGTCGTCGAACCCTAATCTCTCCGATTACTGTTGATACTTCTACTACCTCTACTACTATGGGATTTGAATTGACAATTGCATCTCTGTGCTATTGTGGTATGGCAACTTGAACTGATGTACTTATGTACAAAGTCCTGTTGTTGTTGTTGTTGACTGACTGACTAACTGAATATACAGTCTTTTAAATACTTAGCTTCAATGATTCATTATCCACTGCTAGTGAGTAATATTTATCATAAACTTGGACATACAGTTAACTTTCTTCATGAATTTAAACGAAGCAGTTAATCAACTGAATAGCAAAGGTCAGTATAATAGTATGAATTCATGGTTATTACTAAAAGAAAGGATAAAACATAAGATACAACCTTTGATCATTCTAGCTGTACAAGATCAAGTTGCAGTCTATTTGTTTTGTGTTTGACGTGAGTGGTCTCTTAAAGCAGTCATCAAATCTCAGTTGTTGTTATTATTCAGTCAGTTAGTCAGTTACAACGTAGAGCTTCGTACCTAAGTACATCAGTTCATGTTGCCATGCCACATTATCACAGAAATGTAATTGTCAATTCAAATTCCATGATGGTAGAGATAGTAGAAGAATTACAGCTAACAAAGAAGATTAGGATTTGAAGACAAAATTCAAGAAGTATAATTCTTGTTATAACGTCGCGTTAAATCATTTTGTAGACACTTGAAATGAACTCAATCAATCTGTGTTGAACACTAGATCAATATCACTTAATGTTATCTTATAAACTAATTTAAACTACTCAACACTTGATTGTTTAGTTTATGATTGACGGTAAAAAGTTTTTGTTTTTCTAAATTTGAATTATGGGCTGAAATTCGAATACAATCTCAAATGAAGATAGACCTTTATTATTATTATTATTAAAAAGTAGTAGTTATAGTACTATGGTAACTTACTCAAACATTGATAATACTACTGTTGTTTTCTTTATTTCGATGTATGATGTTATTTGTATTCAACATTTATGAATTACCGGTTTATGTATTTAATTCATGTGTGTGTAAATAGTACAACAGTACGCCTATTGTATGTGTTCATTATTAAAGATTAGTTGAATAATGTGATTAATATTAATATTATTAAATATTGTTGGGGGGTGTTTATTTTTTTCTTTATTCTGTAAATTATATAAGGTCACAATTCATTGTATGTCATAAATACATACACACGCAATACATATTATTATTATTATTATTATTATTTTGAATATTGTATATAAGTTTATTTATTAAATGAACTACTTATTAGCGGTAAATATAATATTGAAATTTTAGAACAAATGGAATACTATGTACTTGTATATATACACATACATATTCATATTCGGTTTTATTTTATGTTGATGATAGCAGTGATTAGTTAGTTAAACTTTGTCACAATGAAAATTAAAAGTCTATTTATATATATATATATATATATATATATATATATATATATATATATTTGATTGAGATCTATGAATATGTGCGACCAGTATATGTTGATCATTTTGTCTTGAATGTAGAAAAATGTTTCAAGTTCATACACATGAACAATAGTTGATTGAAAATTTAAACCAATCATATCAACAATGATTATTATTATTATTATTATTATTATTATTTTAATTACTCATAATACTTGTGTCTGTATTGTAAGATATTTTAATGGATTAGGGACCTCAATTTATACTTCAAATCTTTTAATAATTTCATATGTGCTTACGTATTATCATCGTAATCTGTTAATTGAATTAAAATTCTCTTTATCTTTCCTACCACTCAATTATTACATGTTTATAATTGTTCATAAACTGTACTATAATACTATAAGCTGACAATACTGATGTGTATTTATCCTGCCTGATTTCTCTCAGTTTTTTTTTCTTCTGTCAACTTAATCATAATATGTCAAAAGTTGAATACAAATAGCTTTTATAATATTTCAGACATAGATTGTAAAGTTGAACAAAAGACAAATACGGAAAAGATGCAATGTTATTTATACACATCAATTCAGAGAATGATGAGATGATTTAATTCGTGTCAGTTATATTTTCTTTTTAAAAATGCAGCAAATGAGTAGATGTGTGCGTACTTTTATATATATATATATATATATATATATATATATAACCATGAATCGATCATTGTTAGACGACCATTAGAAACCTGTGAGCACTGGACGGCCGTTTCGTCCTGGTATCGGACTCATCAACAGTGTGCATTGACGACTCCTGCAACCCGCAGGATTCGAACTCAGGACCTTCAGTCTTGTGCGCGAACGCCTAACCTCTGGACCACTGAGCCAGTAGCTATCGGCTTTAATATATAAATGTCGCAGGGTATATTGAAAAGATTAATTCATCTGTTCAGAGGTTTGAATAAAAAAAACAACCTCTGAACATATGCCCTTGTACATCCATTCTTTGTCTTCGCTCATTTGCTAAGGATGTTTTTATTTATCTCTTTTTAAATTTACTTCACTGGATTATACTTGTTGAATAATCTCTTCGATCTTTAGTCTTTCCCATTACCGCTAATACTTTTACTACCTCCACCACTATTGGTTATATATATATATATATATATATTGTTTAATAGAATGATTTCTCATCATCCATATTTTCTTTGCTTTTAACGATATTCATGATTGATTGATTGACTGGTTAGTAAATAGTTCGACAAAATGTTATTAATGTACATTATCAATTGAGAAAATGCATTGTTAAATATTTTGTATGACATGATACGTAACAATAATTCATGTAATTATGGTATACATAAGATTCTCTGTCAAAAAAAAAGCCATCAACTAACATTCGATTGCAATCAGTAATGTTAGTAATCTTTATATAATTTGTTGTTTATTGTTAGATTTTAGTCACATCAAATGATTCACGTCTACGTTTAGTTGATGCCCGTGACTATCATACATTGTGTAAATATCGTGGATTTGTCAATGAAACTAGTCAAATACGTGCATCGTTTAGGTAAGTAAACATTTCAAGGTTAGTGTTATTATTATTGTTGTTGTTTTATGAAAACTTTCTCTTTTCATTGCGAATTCTTATTTGCTAACTTATTTGTTTGATTCAAAGTTGTGGCTTTTTTTTCATGAATAAAAGATTGTTTACTGGTTACAATTCAATGCAAATATTATTATATTACTGAGTGTGTGAACTACTCTGTATGTATAGTATGATTTTTAGACTATGGGATTTGGTTTTTAATTAAATTTGAACTCGTAGTTTAATAGTTAAAAGAATGAGATAATAAAGATGTTAGGGGGTGTGGGAAAGATTTGTTTGGCCTCGTGTGCTGTTTTGGATATGAGGGCGGATGTCACTTCCCGGCCGCCTACACCGTGGAAGGGTGTTTCTTGAGGGACCTGAGAAACAAGGTAGATTAGTGTCAGTCTTAGAGATCTGGGAACGTGACCTCAGAACCCAAGGGACAACTGCTTGAGGCCGGTCATGCACGGCATTTTTATGAGAAGCTTTAGAAGTGTTAGCTTCGCTCTTGTTTAAAATCCCCTACCGCCGGAGACGGGAATCCGTGAGGTAAGGTACGGTGTGACATTTTTGAAGTAGACCTTTTCTGACCCTTCCCTTCCTTGTGAGAAGGCCGCATCGCTGTTGATGCTGGTTGTCCGAGCGAAACACCTTACTACTGTCACACCCGTTTACAGTCAGCAGTACGACTTCGCCCTCAGGCCTAGAGTAGCTACTTTTAGTCTGATCGTTCTCTAATCGACCTACCTGGCATTGTAGAACCTTCAGGAACATATGTCCCAGCCAATATAGCTCGGTTGGATCATCACTATAGGCAAGCCCGACCACCACATTTGGGCCCTTAAATGTACATTGATTAGTAAAAGAATAAGAGAGGTAAACTGTTTGTTTGCTGATTTAAAATGAATACTCTCTAAACTAATTACATACTTTACATCGAATGGATAAAATACTGTTGGCACTGGAATTCAAGGCATGCGTATCATTTTGTTTGGTGCTCGTCAGCTGGATGTACCTTCATCTCGAATGCAAGAGTTTATATTAACTCTGAAATGTAGAGTACATCTAGTTAACGAGCCCTAAATAGAATGATACGCACGCTCTGGATTCCACTATTGGCCACATTATATTTATTCCATGTAAACTTTTATTGTAATGGCTATATTGAAGGAATCCCTATACGATGCGCCCCATATATCAACCAAGACTGATCAAACTACAGTCAAACAATTAACAACAAGATAACTCAAACCATTTCAAATTAAATTATGGCATACTTTATCAGTTAAACAATGGAAAGATACAAATACGTACAAATATTATAAGCATAAAATAAACAGTGTATATTTTTTCATCAAAATAGCAAATGTAAGTATAGAAGAAGGAGTAAAGACGACTCAACGAAAAAAGGACTTTGCTTTTGAAGATATCATCTTTTGAAAATGTATTTATAGTCGAAACAGTAGTAGTCTATTGAAAATTAGAAAGAAGTTTTACCATTAAGTCTTTAAAAATTTCAAGCTTCACAAGATAGTTGTGTAATATTTCAAAGATATTTTACGGGGCGTAAGTATGCACATTCAAGCTTGAAACACTGAATTTTTTATTCGTCCTCTGTTTAAGCTTACTCTTTCGACAATGATAATAGATAATTTGGCGAATTCGGAAGACTCAAACTGCAAACAATTGTTTCTTCAATTTACATTAATCGCAAGTTTCTCAATTCAACTTTTAAGATTTAGAGGTTGGCGTTCATCAGTTTCAATTAATGTTTTACTTTGATTGTGATTTAACAGAAGTTTGTTTTGTACTTTATACTTCACAAGGTTTGTTTAAATTAGCACTTCTGTTTTTTTAGATGTTATCTACTCCTTGCTATCATTCTATGTACTTAAGTACGGTACTTCAGTCTCCTCAGTTTCGTATATTCTGAATAAATAGCATGTCGAAACATATTTTAAGACCACCACCATACACTTATTAAAGCACTAATTATTTAATATATAAGCGATTGAAAGATGTGAGTTTTTGGTAGGTCACTCATTCAGGGATTACTTTACTACTGCCTGATTTCGTGTTCAATTCCCTATACTACTAACAGTCATCAGATTTCAATAACTCACCAATCCTCTGGTCATATTTAATGAAAGTGACTTTTTCACTTTTGGAATTTCAAATCAATTGATACTGATCTATAATATATGCTTAGTATTTTTATTTTTTAAAGATTCTTTTTATTTTCTATTTTGTTTAACTGTTTACCGAAATAGTCCAACTGGTCGTTATCTAATCTCAGGATCAGAAAATGCATTCTTTTACATTTGGCAAAAATCATTAGATGTTGATAAAATATCACGATTTTCACGTGTACGTAAAGATAGAAATAATTGTTGGGAAGCAATTAAAGCTCATGATACAATGGTCACTGTAGCTGTGTTCAGTCCAAATCCAAATTTAGTATTGAATAAACAATGTTCAACACGTAGACCGTTTAATTCATGCATTATTTCAAATTATTCTGAATTAAGTAATACTGATTGCATGGATACTAATCGTGGTATTTATCATCCAAGACTATTAAATTTAAATAAATCATTAGTTTCAACTACAACTATAGATTTGAATCGAGAAACATTAGTCTATTTAGGTGAAATAGTTGTTTCAGCTGATTGTAACGGTTGTATTCGAGTATTCAAGAAGTATTCAACGGAAACTACCCAATCTACGTGTAGTTAATAGAAGTTGACAGATTATTCAATCAGACAATTCGATTACTTTTTGTGCATATATATATATATATAAATATTTATGTTTACTTTGTAATTTTTATTAGTTGACCATTATTTGTATGTAAGAATAAAAAGATGATTTGACTGTGTACACTGACAAAGTCTTCCTTGTAATCATTTCCATTCAGTTTCTGTAAAACTCTGCTAATCAATATCTTTTTGATTGGAATTATTCTCATGATCATATATACATATATATATGTATATGTATATATACATATATATAGCTTGTGGGCGAGGTGTTACAAGAAGAAAATAATATTTTACTATATTTCACATTATTTCCAAACGTTTATTGTCAGTGATTTTCTCTTAACTTTTCGCGAATTGTTTATTTTGACAACAACAACAGCCACAACAGACAAACAATCAAACATCATTATTTTCTTCTATTAAATTATTTGTTTATCATTTAAATAGCACTAATTGTTTTTATTTTGTGTGTGTTATCGTTTCACTTTCATTATTCTCAATTGATTGGAGTTATTGTTGATGGATAGGTAATGTTTGCTCCCGTTTTTTTTTCATATGTTTTTGTACACTCCTAGTATCATTTTATCCGTGTCCAGTGAATATGATGAATTTATGAAACACAGTGTTGTTTCAAAATGTGATCTATTCATCATTTTATTTATTTCTAACTGAATTATTATTATTATTATTTTTAATGAATAATTTTATTTTCTATTATTCTAGTTTAAATAATATTGTATAATAATAATAAGATGAAATTATTTATGCATTGAAAAATAAATAATTACATGCTTTGAATGATATAGTATATATATAATTATAATATTACTATGTTAATACAAGAAAACTAATGCCGATTGTGACATAATTAGATAAATAAGATACATATAAATGCTTTCGGAAAGCTGTGTATCGGTTTAGACGGTAATATCTTGATCTTGTTGGTAAACATTCCCGATCAAAGTGTAGGCATTTGTAGAAAACGACAAACTGTCATAATGCATTATATTTCAGTGTTCACCGAAAATCCATTTATTGTGGATGGTATTTTTCAGCACAGTGTACATGGAAACTGGCTTTCTGAATTTCACACAAGTCATTCAGTGTCACTACTACTAGTGATTTGTAGTATGACCAGAAAATTATTAAATAATACCCAAATACTATCAAAGGCTAGTGTACATAATCATAAGCGTGTATTTACGAAATGTTCAAAATGGTATCGATAACAAACTAATACAAAGGCACATAATCTGAATTACATATTCAACGTTTTCCAGAACGTTTTAGATTTCTATTAAAAAGAAAGCTGCCAATAGTCCCCTTACGGTTTATATTCCACACGTCGCAGGAACTCACAGTACTACAAAAAAATGAGGCGATTCAGTGTATTTCAATGCCAAGAACTGGTGTCCATACGAAGCGGGGTATTCAGTCACTAAAGTATACCTACTAAATACTCGGCATAGAATGGATAGCACACTAATACTCCGATAAATGGTGACCGATCACACCAGTACCAGCACACAGGAATTAGACTTCTAATACCAATTTGCAAATACATGACCGTCTGACTCGCATCATCGTTGCACCAGTGTATGACATAATATAGGAGTCCAATGCTTGATCCGAAACACCAACGAACATGCATTGTCATTTGACACAGTATTATGAAAAAGGCACGAGTATGTAAAATATATCATGTAAGAATAAATGGATGAATCGCCACAGTTAGTGCGTGGATATGATCATGCCATGCAAAGAGGTAGCTTACCTTAACTAACTGAACTGATAGACTACTGGGTGTAGAGGCTTGACGTCGAGGGGAACGAGGACTGCATAACTTCGAGAAAGGAGGCTGTGGGAAGTATGGCGGAGTGTTTGGACGTGGAGATGTAATTATTCCACCGTAGCTGAAGGCTGAAGAAACATTGTTGCAAGAGCCGTCTGGATTTAAACAGGAAGATTCACAGTGACTGGGACTATAAAAACATCCGTAGAACGATGCGGACATGGGCCCAACTACTATTCCGCTAGGTAATGCAAGCATTGCTTCGACAGATTGTCCCGCCTTTACTTGCGTTAGATTCTCCCGTAGCACCTTTTGAGTAGCCCTATCCGTTAGCCATCTTAGGAATAGTTCATCCAGTTTTAATTTCAGGGCGGAATTGATCGGCATCACTATTGTCTTGGAAAAACAGTAGGGATGTTAGTAAACCCAAAGTCCAACGAAAACTAATTTAGTTAACAGTAATAATTCTGAAACAAGACTATTTGAGCGAAAGTCTTACCCATAAAATTAAGGATGATGTCTGGAATCACACCAAAAGACTACAAATCGTCCATAACATTCCTCTGAAAATGACAAGCACATGTCAATCTTTCAGAATTTCAACAAAATCAAATTTGGTCATAGTATCTTTAAGGTCAAACACTTCGAAATGGTCGTTCAACGTCAAATATAGTCCTCTCGGGCTTTGTATGGACGGAAAGAATAGAAAAATCCAATTTGGATTTCAGTAAACGCGTTTTCCAATTTTGCACTTGGAGTAGACTCACTGATTCCTAGGCGAACCACCAGAGATTATGTTATGTTTATGCAATAATTAATGAAACAGGTTACTCCAAGGTATCCATTGGGATTGTGAACAGAATTCATGAACGGCATAATGTCGAAACACTTACAGATGCCTAGTTATAATTACTGGTTCTCATTTCTGTTCTACAGTTGTTAAGCTTCCAATAACAGGTCTCTACTCAGATCACGGAAGTTTGTGCTGATGATGTTGTTCAGAAGAAAAATGAAAGCTCCAGAACCAAGCCATCTAGCTCAGAGAACGAGACTGTTCCATGACTATGAAACTTTCCTGCATCTCTGTGTTGTCATTGTAGGTATTGAAACTTTATCGATTTGCCCATTTCAGCATCATTGTAATTACCTGTAAGTAGTTTCCTAAGAGAGTCGCATCCCGACCAATGGAGTTAGCTAAGTGTTCCATAGTTGGGAGTAAACTACCTCGTAACTAGAAAAGATGGATAGTTATGTTTACACACAAAGGAGTGACAAGGTGGAAGAGCCTAGTTTCCTTGCCTTTCATACTAGCAAAGCCCATCAGGAGAGTTATTAATGAATTTCCCTGTAACCACTTTCTCAGCGAGGTTGTTTTCTTTGAATCGCAACACGACTCCCTATTTCGTAGATCCTGTAACACAAACCTGTTGACTGCTTGAACCAGCTGGACAATCTCACTGGGACACAAGCATCCCGTTCATTTTCACCCCATAAACTTCTCCATGACATTCGACAAGGTTAACCACCGAACTCTGTCTCAGAAGTTGAATTATATTGGTATAAGTGGGCGTCTTGTGGTGCAGTTCTCAGGCCACAAAAACAGAAGGTTACAAGCTCTTGGAGTTTTTATACTCTGTCGGATTGATTTTCAAGGACAAATGTGGTGCCGCTAGTCCCAATCCTTGGACAGTTCTCCTTTCCATTCTTTATTATTGGCACACCTAGTGCTCTGGAAGAAGACACCTGACAAAGGTGATATGTCAGCTGTCCAAGAAGACTGGTATATGACTCGACTAGATCACCAGAAATTTCATTCCTCTGACGCCAATAAATGTAGAACGCCGTTTGTTAATAGCAGTGGTGCTCTAACCAACACATACCTCTTGAGAACTCCAGGATCACACAATCAACTATTGAAAAAACCTGGATATCGCTCTTTGACACTCTAGCTCTCTCTCCCACCCCTCAATCATTTCTGATGATAACTTAAATGTTTTATCCCGTCAGATTGCGGAGGGAATATATCAAAAACTATGCTCCTCCTTTACCAAGAATGCTCTCCTAATATCCAGTTACAGACCCCACGAAACAAACTAGTCAGCTCTGCTGAGTAAAGTTGAAGTTGAGTCTCAATCTGTGTGCATCGACTTTCTATGGACGTTTAGTCAAAAGTTTACCAATACTGAATTCATTTGCTAAAACATCCCAAAATAGCTACCTGTCATTCAACTACTTAGCCGGCTTGAACATTTTGTGATCTAAAATGTTTCCGGGTCAATTATGATCACTTTGTTGTTTGTTAATTTTAATGGAGATCAACGTCAACACCAGATAAATGATCCATGTTCTTGACTTAACGATTTGAAAGATTGGAGCTCTTAGTCCCTGCATTACTACTTCTTCAGTAAGTCCACATAATGTTAGGACCATGGATACTACTTTCCTCTGTTCAATTATTTTCTTATTGAGTTTTAAATATATTGCTAGGCACAAATTTTGTGAGTTCTGCAATCTTTGGCCTTAATGCTTTGTGTGTTTCATAATATTTGTATCATTGTTGGGAGATAGTGACATAATGACCCTTGATAACCACAGTTCAATTGTGGTGAATTTGACTGTAATGTTGGTCTATACATACTTCAGTTTATCCGGAAGTTTGGCCAGATCATGTTCGTGACCGAATCCACCGATGGTTAGAGACGTTGAACAACATGGATCAAAATCGTTTGTAATGACGCAGGTGCATCCACTCTTTGTGTTCTCTCAAATTCTAATCTTCTGTATTCGTCATCACCTCTACCTTTATATTTCTTAACTTATCTCACTGAATTATACTTCTTGAATAATATCGTCGAACCCTAATCTTCTCCGCTACCAATAATACTTCTACTATCTCTACGACTATGGGATTTGGACGGACAGTTGCATCTCTGTGTTAATATGGTATGTCAACCTGAACTGACGTACTCATGTACGAAGTTCTATTTCGTAACTGACATAAAGCTTCATTCTTTGAAATTAAAATATACTTGCTTCATGACGATTCATTTCTGTCAATAAATTTATGTATGTTCTGAAAACGTAGATTTCTAAGACTAAGGAGTGATCAAGCTGTAATAATATGCTTCCCCATAATAGAAGTTTCCATAGTCTTCATCATTTCTTATTTCACTTAAGTATATTTTCTCGAATTATAAAATCGATGCTTAATCTGTTTTCTTACCGCTAATATTGTAACTACCTCAAATAATGATGTTATGGATTTTCTACTCTTGCAGTTCATTCCAAACTCTCCAGGTGCATGTTCAGACGCGTTTCACCCAGTCCGGGTTCGAAAACAATAATACTGTCCCGCAAAATTCCTCCTTGTGTTACATCTCCACGTCCAAACACTCCGCCATACTTCCCACAGCCTCCTTTCTCGAAGTTATGCAGTCCTCGTTCCCCTCGACGTCAAGCCTCTACACCAGTAGTCTATCAGTTCAGTTAGTTAAGGTAAGCTACCTCTTTGCATGGCATGATCATATCCACGCACTAACTGTGGCGATTCATCCATTATTCTTACATGATATATTTACATACTCGTGCCTTTTTCATAATACTGTGTCAAATGACAATGCATGTTCGTTGGTGTTTCGGATCAAGCATTGGACTCCTATATTATGTCATACACTGGTGCAACGATGATGCGAGTCAGACGGTCATGTATTTGCAAATTGGTATTAGAAGTCTAATTCCTGTGTGCTGGTACTGGTGTGATCGGTCACCATTTATCGGAGTATTAGTGTGCTATCCATTCTATGCCGAGTATTTAGTAGGTATACTTTAGTGACTGAATACCCCGCTTCGTATGGACACCAGTTCTTGGCAGTTTCCTTGATATTTTGTAGTTCTGCTTACAGCGTATAAAGTGGGAAACACTATCGGGTAGGTGTAGAATTCATACAGTCTGTACTTTGCAGCTTAAAGTGCTATGGGTATTCGTGAAATGTAGTGTTTTTGACGTTGTCAGTTTCTGTTTGTGAATTCAAAACGCTTAACTAGTTCTTGTATGCAAGTTTCTTTCTGTCTTGTACGATTTTCAGCGTTGTCTCTAGCAAGTAACTGATTAGGGAGTTAACGTAGTGATGAATAAAACCCATTCGTAGTTTGGTTAGGTTATCTAAAAACTGTCGAAACTTAGGAAAAGTGTAAATAACTGTCATAAGACTCTTCAAGTGAATTAAAACGTGAAGTTTCCCTCAATTTTTCTTTTCTCGCTATAAAGTCACTATGCCAACGCTATAAGCTTCACTGTTGGACTTAATTCGATAGTAACATCTTCGTGACCTATTACCTAAGTCGTTCTTTTATCTGGATTTGTTCTTTTGTATTCTTCATTATTGCATATCGTTTTCTTCCATGGTTGCATTGTATCAGATGATGTAGACCCGTTTGATAATCTAACTAACTCAAAAGAAAGTCAATGATTTAGTGGCTTGATGCTTAGGTTTCAAAGTCAACCAACCTATTGGAACTGAATCAACCCAGGAAACCGATGAAACGACTTGGTCACCACCAAACAATAAACGATGTTTGGAATGTACGAGGTAGTTTCGCTACTATTTCTTGTAGTACCATTAAGTTCTGGCGCGTGTGGAATATTTTACGTAGGAGACTGTACACCACTTTTTAATAGGGAAGGATTAGGAAAACTGGTTAGTTGAAATAGAAAAATAACCACTATGTTATCTCTTACTAGATCTCTCCTGAACGGACCTCATTTCCTGGTAATTCTAATGTTATTTACTGTCGATGAATTTGAGTTACTCCGATTATCTAGTTAAAAATATTGAACGCGAGTGTTATTGTGAAACTTGTATCTGCTCATGTGATCTGACATCGCTGTTTAATTTCTTCATTGCAATTCTTGGCGGAGAATCATCTCAAAATACTGAATTTATTAAAACTTTAAGAAAACGCTGATTTATCCATTTTTCTTACCAGTTGTTGGACACGGCTGATACGTCACAGCGACTAACGTTTCATTGTGACTTAAATAGTCGCAGGTACTATTATTATTTCATTAGGTGATACTTGGGTTTGTTATAAGTTGAAAACTTTCTAGGTCACCAAATCAATACAGTATCTGTCTGTGGCTGTTATCGAAATATTTAACTCAGACTAATGACTAGGCTTACTGGACTGGGATTAAAATTACTTGCTGTAGAGGTTATCTGAACTTTACGATCACTGAAAATCATAAATATCCATTCTCTTCCCTTTTTCATGTGTGAGTAAAGTTTTTTTGTTCCAACTGTAATTTTTTGGTCATTGTTTTTTAATGGTGGCTAAATTATTAACATGTGAATAGAGCAAGAACTACGTTTTACTAATAAGATGAAACCATTCTATTTTAGGCGTTCTCATCAGTTACGTACAGCCTAATACTACAATTATTGATATAGTTATTAACAGATGTTTAACATACTCTGTTTTGTGAAATTTAGATAAATGTTCAAAACGTAATCGAAATCATAAAATTAAAAGGGTATGATTAAACATAGTTAAAATCGGTGGGTATTTTTATGTTTGGAAGTAATAATGCAAAGTAGAAAAGGTGTTATAGTTACCAGTGATCATGATCAAGGATAGAAGTTAG